GGTGTCTAAGTCTCTGCCGGGCGGGACGCGCAGGCGCGCGAGGGGCACGACACTCCTCTCCTGGTGCGTGCGTCCTTGCCGAGTTGGCAAAAATTTTCTTGGACGGACAGGGACGATCCCGTTGATGCCTCGCCGCTGGGATTGAAGTAAGCCGGCCGACATACCGATGCATCGGGGCTCCATCGAAATGTCAGGCGACTCATATAAGGGATTGGGGAGGCAAAATATTACACAACTTGGGAAGGTAGAAATCACGCGAGAGTTGCGCTCTTGGGGAGGGCAAGGATTGCTGGGCGCTTGATTTCTGGAAGGGGATTCGTGAGGGAATCGCTGATTTGGATTTTCGGGAGGCAAACAAGCAGCCTCGAGCATATTCCCCATGCCAGATGAAGAGGAGGATGGTGGAGGGAAGGACCAGCGCTGGTGGTGGTCGTATGGCAAGGGCGATTGGTGGAGGGAGGAAAAGAGTAGGGCGACTGCTTCCTTCTCTCGCATCCGCTTTCTCGCCCGTGTCACCGTGCCGTCAGGAGGACTCCGACAGTGACGATTCCAGCGAAGCAGCAGCGGAAGACGAACACAACAGAGACGCACAAGCAGGAGACCAACAGGCAGTGGCAAGTCTTCTCTCTGCCTTACAAGTTCCACGTGTACTAGCTTTTAGTGCAGGTGACATCTCTAGCTTCTACCTTACCTTGGATCGTTGAAAGTCTTAGTGCTCTCAACGTGTTCAATGAAATAACAACAATGTTGTGCTTTTCAGGTCAGTCGCCAACAGGGGACATCGACAAGCATGTACGTCGCCAGACGCGTCTCTCTCCACCTGCAGGATGATTTTCCGTGGCACGGCCTTCCTCAGGTCTGAGCACTACTAAGCAATAAGCATAACCTTTGTACAATCCTGTTTATGTCTGTTTTGTAAACACCTTGGGCGAACTGTATGTCTATCGCCGAGGATCTCAGGACTCCCATTAGTTAGAACTTAGAAATGATGCTCTAATACTACACTTGGCACACAAATAAGGAGCTGGCATATTAAAATGGTTACCCTTTGGAACTATGGTCAGTATTTAGCAGTGTTCAATATTGAAGAGATTACTATTTAGCTTTAGAGTATGAGGGCATGTGTTTTTCATTATCTTTTTTACCCCCTGTCGGCGGTACTGAGTGGCTTAGCACTGATGCAAGACGAACATCAGTCGACTTACACTTTGACCGCAAGTCACTTGAGTGGTGTCACTAAAACAACCTGAGCAAGATTGGAGCTGATGGGTATTTGAGATTGTTGCTTTTTATGGGATTGCAGCCAAATAAATCTCTCGCCTTGTCAAGCAAAAGATTAGTGATCTCGTGCAAGATCTAAATGTTACCAGTGATGATGGCTCTACAGAAACGAACAACTGCGAGCACTCAGATTCTTCATTTACGAAATGTTCAACCAATTCGACCATGTCAGATGCAGTTTTGCTTGGAAGGGAGCTGGTATATTTGTAATTGATGTGTATGATGGCATGTCTTCTGAATGCAAGCTTCGTCTCAATAGGAGATCCTCCAACTTCAGTGTGAGTTGAGTTATAGCATTGCTTAATAATTGCTTGAATTTGACCTTCCATTTTATTTTGAAAACTTAAGCCTCCTCATGTAGGTATTGAAGTTTGACGGATTGGAGAATCAGATGGTAGTCGCTGGAGATGCAAGGAACTCCCATGCTTGCAGCGATGCACTTGGTGGGCATTCCTTGCATTTTTCCTGTAGAATCACGCGGGTACATGTATTTAATTATAGCAAAGTCACCATGTCTTTATCATGCCAGTATGCCAATGCCCAGAAATTAGATAACAGAGGGAAGTCACCAGCTCTGAAAGCATACCAAATATTTCAGTTTTTAGGCCACTGCTCAATTTTGAAGAGCTACTCCTTTGAACTAGATATGTGAGCTTTTTGTAAACTACAGGATATCATAGTCTGCTAACTGGAAAAAGAACTCTTTGATGTTGGGCATATCCTGTAGTACTTAAATCATTATTTTTTTACACATGTGATGCAAATCTTATTCGTTTAGAAAAATGGTGAATCTACAGGATTGGTATGAACTCAGAATACAAATTTGGGACATCTATTAACATTGAAAGAGAATGAATGTGAATACAATATGTGTGCTGGTGTCCTGGGATTCATCAGTTGTATCAGGAAAACCAAAGTAAAACAGGTACTCAGATTTTTTTTATTCTACATTTTCCAGATATAGCAAAGGTTGTACCACAGAAAGTATCGTGTGTGTGGCTGACACAAACTCCAAATGTGGCACCTCTTGTCAAAAGTTCACTGTATGAACGAGGATCATGTATTTGCTTTGATCTCAACCTTTGGATGCAGTTAGAAGGTTTCATCATAACAAAAATTGTTAGTTTTTGTAAATTAACCTCACCATTTTGATGATTGTAGGACATCATTGTTCTCCAATATGAAACTATAGAGAAGGGACATGACGTACATTTGTGTAACACAGTTCAGTAAACACGTCTGGAGACTATTTCTTCTTCGAGATTGATTTACTTGGTGGTGCTATTGCCCATTTCCTCTTAACAAGACATGTGTGATGTTCCAGAAAAGGAGCTTATGTGTTGTCTGGTAGCCTTGATGGTAGTTTTATACATGTAGCTGAGGAAAGTGTGCTTGAAGCGCGTCCTGTTAAAAAATGGGAAGGGGACCTGTGCTGGTTTTGAGTCATACTTATTGGGTAGGCCCTTGCGATTTTTGCTCTCTCCATTGCCACGGCCTCGGTCGGGTTGTGATAAGGAGAATGAGATAGCGTTGATGTGGTGCTTCACTGCTAGCTGAATTTTGCCATTGCTGGTGCTAGCTGAACTTTGTGGTAGCTAAATTTTGCTATCGCTGCTGCTAGCTGAATTTTACACAGACATAATGCTCATCTAGACATGTTTTTCCAGTAGAAGTGAGAAATATATGCAGGTTTTTATGCCAAAAGCTTTTAATATTTTTTCTCATAATGTAAGTAAACTGATGATGCATGCCATGGCTAAGGATTTAGTTCCAACAGAAGCAACACATATTCATCTTGCCTACTATCCCATCAGTGGATGTCAGTCTCATTTTTCTGATCCTACACTTGAGCTAAGAATTCATTGCCCTTTTTTTGAACAGGCTGCAGTAACCAGTTTGTCACTACTTCATTGGATATAATGGAGCATATCGTCATTGCGTATGCAAAAGCATGTTTCAAAATTTAAATTACCATGGCGCATTTAATTCTTTTGGAATACTAAACAATCATGCGGCTCTCTACAGATTTTAAAATTCATGGTAGGACCACAGGAGTATACTACTTTGTTGGGGGGAGATAATTTGTTGAACGGATAGCGTTGATGCCTTGCAAAGTTTCGCAGAGAACAAGCTATATGTGGATTTCTTCCAATTGCAGCAAGCTTCGAGCAAGCACAACTATACTCTGTAAATAATCTTCTTGAACCAGAGTTCTTTATTTTCTTTGTATTTTGACCTTTCCTTGTACTGCATTTCAATGTACTGAACACTCTCCTTAATCAATGGAAGCAACACCTGATTGCCTTCATATAAAAAGAACACAATGTGAACATGTACAAGGCGATGTATAGGACGAACAGAAAAAAGAAATACTGCACGAAGGTGAGTGCAAGTGTATGATTTACTAGAATTATTTTCTTGGCAGAAGTTACTATATTCTCAATACACAACATAAATAATTAGGGAATTCAAAAAAGGTCCGAAAATTAAAAATGAGAATTTTGAAATAAAATGTTTAATAAATCATCAAATGTTTGTCGAGTCAAAAAATGTTCGCGATTTTGTAAACAAAATATTTGCTTATTCAAAAAATGTTCCAAATTTTGAAAACAAATGTTCATGATTTTTTAAAAAGTTTGTTTATTAAAATATTGTAATGAAATTGAACAGAATTTTGCCAATTCAAAAAATGTTTATGAATGGAAAAATATCCTTAAAATTCAAAAACTGTTCGTGGCTTACAAAATAGTTTATTCATTCATTAAATGTTCGTTGATTCAAAAATGGTCATGCATTTCAGAAAATGTTTGGGGATTTCAAAAATTGCTCCACCAATTTACAAAATAATGTTCGTCGATTCTAGAAATGTTCACCGATTCAAGAAAATTATTTTAAAAAATGTTGACACTTAAAAAAAATGAAAATAGTATAAAATGTTCGTGAATCAAATAATGTTCTTGATTTTAGAAAATGTTTGAAAATTTGTAAAAGTGTTCACAAATTTGAAAAATGTTTACAATTTCAAATATGTGCACGAGTTTAAAAAAATGTCATGATTTCTCAAAATTGAGAGTGATACTGTATCTCGCCGATGCAGCAAAATATGGTCATGGCCATTGGAGATTATAAACTTTTCTCCCGTAGCAACGCACGGGCCCTTTTGCTAGTATAATTCAAAGAACATGCGAGATATCATGCACGAAGTAAAATGAGTAGAGGAAGCATCGAGACGGAGCTAGACGTGGCTAGCATGTTTGTGCTGCTGGAACTCAACACACGTAGTACTCCAACATCATCTGTTCACGCCCCTCCATAGTTGACCTACATGTCCTCCTGCTCCGGGAAGAATGCCTGCCATGGCCCGGAGGCAACCATCACGTTGTCGTTGACGTTGTACAGACAGATAGTCAGATGACCAGAGCACGTTGGAACAGTGTTGAATGCCGTGTCGTGGAAGTCCATGGCGTCCACGCCACTCCCTGTCGGTAGCGATTTGTGCTTGACGAAGAACACGATATAGTGCAAAAGAAAACAAAACAAAGGGACAAATTCACATTCTATCAAGAGAGCCTCGTTATCATTAACATGATCAGAAGGAAGATTCAAACATCAAAGTCACGTCTTTACGAAATAAAGCTCGTCATGCCCGAACTTGTACTGCCACTTGCCAAAGCTGATGACCCAAAGCCCTTGTCGCCGAGCCTGCATGGCTGTTCCCGTCAGCTCCACCGGTGTCGCCCAAGCGTTTTGCTCGCGCCGCTGGCTGCTTGAGGACTAATCACGTTGGCTCCCCTTTGAACCTGCACGGCTTAGGATTCAGAGGAATTGCCTTGTCGTAAAAAAGACACAAGGGATAGAGCAGGCCGGAGCATTACCTACCTGGCTGGCGTAGGCCTTGCTGCACACGACGATGCCTTTGACGAGGTGGCTGGTGCCCATGTCGATGGCCTTGGCGAGCACACCGTTGTAGCTCTTCATCCTTGGCGACAAGTAGTTCCAGTACCCGTGTGCAGAGCAAACCGAGGGACAGCAGCAACGTGGTGTCGGAAACACCATTTCACAAAATAAGTCCAGCTCCAGCAGCTAGCTCGGCTCAAGTGAAGATTGACCAAAATCATATCAAGCAATATGGAGCATCACTATACAGGGAAAAGGGGAAGGGGGTTTCATGACACGGACCTTCAGGTCATGGCGTGGTTTGCATATCTCCTCATTGTCCATGAAACGTTCCTCCCTGCACATCTAGAATAGAAGAACAGAGCTGAGTTTAGAGAGAGAGAGAGGGAGAGGGAGGAGGAGAGAGAGAGGAGGGGTGAACTAATCGGAGGAGGAGCTTGAGCACCCCATGGCCATGACCACTGGGCGGAGGAGCTCCATCCAGTGGGCCGAGCTACGTGTGGGGGCGAGGTAGGAGCAGGGGAGGAGTCACCAAAGCCGCGCCGACGACACGGTGAGGGCTTGGGGTGATCGGTGGTGGCCGGTAGCGGCGAATCCCGCCGGTGGAGAGGAGGCAGCGGGGCTAGGCGGCGATAGCGGAGAAGAGTAGCAGGGGCGGGGGGAGCCGCCAACGGCCGCGGCGTTCGTGGCGGCGCGCGGTGCCGGGGAGGGGCGGGGTGGTCGGCAGGAGGAGGCGGCGCGCTGGAGCTTGGAGACCGAGATGGGATCGGGAGGCAGATTTATTTTCCTTTTATCTCGACATACCGGTTCGGTTGACCTACTATACGTACTGCGGGTTGAATACACTGAAACACAGGGACCTGTGTGTAAAAACGCTGCGACGGTGAACCAAGAAACTCAATCCGTCCTTTATTATTACTAGCACAAAAGCCCGTGCATTGCAACGGGAGCTGTGTTTTGATTTTTGGTTAAAAAACGGATTTCAGCTAAATTTTGGCCATTTTCGCCTGGGATGGAAAGTACCGAAACCTTTCGGCCGAAAAATATATATTTTAGTTAAATTTCGGCCACATCGCTTCGCGAGTCTTCCTTCCCCACAACTTATAGTTCATTGACCTGTAATGCTCCTAGTATTACAATTATGTTGGTAGAATATTACAATTGTCATAATTAATCAAGCTATTTTAATGAACTAAACTACACTCATTTACTATATCCTTTTTTCAAATAATATATTTTGTAGTGCGGTATCCATAAACAAAATTTGAAATAAGCATGAATGAGTCAACCAATGTCGGTGGACGTGTTGATAGAGTGTCAGGTGTTTTCTGGATGCAATTTAGGAAACAAAAAAATAATATTGAAATTAGAGCACTGATATACACAATATTTGTCATCCGACTTCAGTACGGCGTTGAAGATCGGACCATAGATACATAGTGATGAAGCATCTCACACTGACATCAGACAATAAAAATGTCCTACACAGAACACTTTTTGGGAAGTAATAAATTTACCTAGATGCAATTGTTCCTCCATACAACACCACCTCAAGCATGTCCACCTTCAGGACCTTAAGCATATCATCTTCTTTCAGCTCGAGAACAACCACTTCATTGAGATTAGAATCCATATTTTTGATGCTAACCTGTGTGTGTATATTAGTCCAATATATATTGTCTAATCCTACTTGAGCTATATGGTTGATGTCCTTTTTTTCTTGGCTTTCCCGTCGTAGTTGAGTCCATGAAGGACGCAAACCCCGATCAACGCTGCTCGTCAGCTGGCGACCCTTCCACGTCGATGGCCCCTTTGAAGGCGCGCGAACAGTTCGGCCTTGGGATCCCTGAGCTGGGCCGTTGTGGTCGACAGTGTATTTTATTGCGCCTAGGGCAAGCGCTACAGCGGCCGCCGCGGGCTGCAGCTCGTCAGTTGTTTATGCGCTAATTAAGCCTGAATCCGTGTCGTTCGTCATCCCGATCCCAATCTCTCTCTTTTCCTTTCTCATCAATCTGATCTTTTTTCCTCGAGGTGTCTTGCCGTACCTGTAGGCCTAACTCTTTTCTTTTTCATCCATATTGTGTAGTCCCTCATTCCTTAATTTCTTCCGGCCATAGCAGCAATCCGTGCACGTCCGTTCTCTCATAGGAATCATCTGGCAGCCAGCTTCTGGGTATGTGCAAGTTTTACACGTATATTAACTGGTGTGGTTTGATATAAGAAGTCGAGGTGGTACTAATTCAACATTAGGGAACCCTATGTTAAAACACCAACAAATCCTAGCTCAACTGATCGCTCATATTAGGTTTGGTGTGGAGGTCGCAAGTTCGATCCTGCTTACTGCCAACTATTTTTTGCGTTGTTTCATACAGTAGATGGGCCCGCAAAGTTGGCCCATAGTAACGACGGACGAAAATCTTGTCCACAGCGGATAGATATAGATACACAGGTAAAATAGTACCACCTCGCTTATAGTTTTAAATTTAAACCGAAAGTAAATTCACATGAAGAAAGCGTATTGTGACGGTGAACCCGGAGATCCAATCCGTGCTTTATTATTATTAGGGATAGATTATTATTAGGGAGAGATTAGATTAGCCCGTGAGTGCATGTTCATTATTATATTATTACGCTAAAATCTTAGCAAGTTTTTATATGCAATCATCATAATTTACCTGCCATTTTATTGTTCAGAACTTGCTTGGTAACAACTTGATGACTTGCCAAACAAATATGGTTTTTATTTTGCTAAGTTAATAATACTTGGGACAATTGATTCTAATTTAGGGAGAATGAATGAAAAAAAGATGACATTTATATCTATACCAATATAAAGACCCAAAAGGGACAGATATAACTGATCTCGGCCATTAAATTAAGTCAATCCAATGACTAGACTACTCCAATGGTGAGCGTTCAACGTGTTTAACATGCAATTAATATCATACCAAATATTGCACTAATCATAAAATAAACACACAAATAATAGAATACCTAATATCCGTGTGCAATTAATATATTGCCTAAATATTAATGTACATGCGCATTTACTAGTGAGAGTAAAAAATCAAGAGAAGGAAAGAGTCAAACGTATATAAGGAAGGTTGGACGGAAGAGGGTGAAATGAAAACCTTGCGTTCTTTTTTAGTATATATAAAGATCATATAGCGGTATTTCAATGATTTGCAGGAATATAATTTAGTACTTTTACTACATTTGCCGGGTCAAGTCAATCCTTCCACATAAGTCCCTTCTACTTCAAGTCAATCCTTCCACATTAGCCGTTCAGTCCAAGAAACTCCCCCTCCTTAAAATTGTCAATGCATTATTGAAAGGTTACAACAGCATTACAACAGAAAAAACTTGTTCTCTGGTGGAGCACACACCTCCTAGTACACCCTACATCAACGAAACAAAACAGAGTTACAGATATAGTTTATGTACACAACGAACTGGATGGTGCCGCGAGGCGGTGCAGTCAGTCAGTGGGCAAACAATGCAGATACAAATCTCGTCCCTTTGTATGCAGCACTCTACTAATGCCTCCTCACTCCAGTAGCCCCAAATATCCTTAGCAACTGCAATTTTTGCATATGTTGGGTACCACGGCTGTATGACCTGAGAGGATTCTTCTCGATCGACGGAGCTGAGATGTTAAACAAGGACTGACTACTGCTATCGGTGTTGGTGGTCACAAGCCTGGCAGGCCTTGGCCGATCTGGGGTTTACATATGTACACTGATCACACGTCCAAATGTTGCTATCGTCCACACCACGGCTGGAGCTGCCTGATTTGGAGCCAGCAGCGGATGCCCTGTTCTTGCCAGTCTTGCTCTTGCCACCAAGGCTCTTAGAAGTAGTGTTCTTGATGCCCGTGCTTTGGCTAGTGGAAGGTCCAACGTCATTTAATCCAGTCTCCAGTGCCCGGACGAGATTCTCAAAATAATTGCGAGTCACGCTGTAAAATACCCCGCAGGAAAATGTCACAGGAAACGCAGCAGAAAGAGGTACTTAACTGATACTACATGGTTATGGATGACCAAGTCGTCAGTAGAAAATGAATAAGCAGTTCTGCTAATTCTAAAGTCGGCTGAGATTTTCTCAAGCACTTTTCACCAAACTGAAGATTTACTTCTAGATCAGTTGAGACTTAAGAAAATCTCAATCGGCTTAGACAGAGACATAAATGAATGAAGCAAAAAAAAAACACTTCATAGGTATGCATAGCATCACAGCGAAGGATAGAACATATGTAAAGGTGATCCAAATTACCTAGTTAATCCAGCCAACTTTGTACGGAAGTCATTGAAATCTTTTGAGGGGGACTCGGCTTCAAGGTATATTTGAAGTTCTTTCTCTGCACACTGATGCAGCCGCTCCAAACCTGATTCAGCCTCACCTATATGCATACACACAAAGCAGAAATCAGATGAGTAGGATATGCTTATGTATTATCAATGATAGTAAAACTACAAACCTTGCAGATATTCAAAGAACTGTCTTTTGGCATGTTCGTGCTCTGGGAGGTAATAACCATAAGCATATGTCCACTTCAATACCCTCCTACACTCAACAATCTACATTTCAAAATTAAACCCAGTCACGAGGAAGAAAACTTGAGACCTAAATTTGGGAATAATAACACCCGTGAAGTAATACCTGTAGCCATGCCTCTATGATGAACTTGAGCTGTGACTCAGGTTGACTTTGTATATCACTTAACTTTTCAAGCTGAGAAATATTTGCAGAATTCAGTCTTAGGAGTCCTGGACAGGCTGAGGTAAGCTATAATAAAAGCAGTGAAATGAACAGTGAGTGTCACATATATTCATATACCTTGTCATTCTGCAGACTCTGAAGGTCTCCTAATGCCTTTTGCCTTGACTACATCATGAAGACAAAAAGTGTCAAAGCAATCAGAGTTACGAGATTACGTGTTCTAACAGGTAAAGATATCACAGGAATATTCCTATCACCCTGTCTACACGAAACAGCACCTAAATCAGCATTGACTTGATATCGACATCTCAACACAAGGAGAAAAAATCCTTTATACAAGAAACTGCATTATTGTCAGCATTTCTACAATTGATTATAAATTATTAACAGGTTTAACATTGGACAAATAGGTGAAATTAAGAAGAACGATGCAGCACAATGCCACTTCCATGATATTTGGCGTGAAACAAGTTCGCTATCTCTCCTCTTTTTTAAAGAAAAAAACATAGATTGATCCTCTCAGGCTAGCCAATCAACCAAGAATTCTATCATCTCAGGCAGTTCAAAACTAACACTTCAAAAAATTCTAAACAATTATCTTGCACACTCAACAGAAGTGCCTTATATTTATTTGTCCCCCAAAAATGATGCAAGGATGGCAAAGCAAAAGACAAAAATGGCAAAACCTAGTTAAGCTAACAGAATAATTGTCTACTTCAAAAGGTACAAATCGTCACTATGAATCCTAGTAATGTTCTGTACATGCTGCTTTTTTCATAACGAATAACTTACTGACTGATTAGCTGCCCATCGTTCATAATAATGTGTATATCTCTCAAGGGAGTTCTTCGCCATTTCCCTTCTCCTTTCAGATTCATCATACTGTGACCACAACAAAACAGATAGAACATGTTATTATATCTTTAGGTAATGAAGTGAACATCTAGGATCAGAATCACTACCGCTCCTTCTTGTCTTGCTGCCTCATAACGGTTACAAGCATAAAATCCACCAGTCCTCTCTCCATGCTCCGACCATGAACCAAGACACAGCCTACATTACAATAGTGCAAATATCATTTCAGCTATAGGAGATTTCTAGTGCAAAAAAACATAACACAGAAAAGAAGACTGATTGTATACCAGCAAAACTCAAATTTACATGGAGGTGTGCATGTGATATGCATGCATCCCTGGTTTTTCTCAATAGGCCGCTTGCACTTAGGGCAAGGCTTTGAGTTAGCCAGTATCCTGAAACCATACCCAGCAGTTAGGAAGATAATAGTACAGTTCACACCTGAAAAAAACAAGACTAAAAGATACTCCCTCTGTTCCATAATAGGTGTCGTGGTTTTAGTTCAAATTTAAACTAAAACTACGACACTTATTATGGAACTGAGGGAGTATAATTTTATCAGATCCATCATACAACTGGCCAAATACTTCAAATTTTTACAACTCCAAACATTAATGGTTTTAGAAGATCATCATGTTATTACAATAATAATGACATCCAAGCTAAAAAAACTCTCCTCGACCCTATCTCTCTCTTCACCTACCTGGTTGGCTAGCATGATCACCACAGCAGGATGCAGTGCGTCCCACCAGGAGATCAAGGACGATTGTCCAACTACCATAAAAAATAACAATCCACGTTATCTAGCTAAAGCTTACAATATCCGCAACACACCCCATCTCATAATAATAATCATAAGACTCTGCACATGCACAATATTGAAGTGATCAAAATGGATACAAGGTGATATAGTGGTACAACTTGGGTGCGGGGGTAGACTATCATTGATTAGCATGCCAAGTGTCGAAAATAATATTCTAGTTCCAGATTGAGAATAAGCAAAGTAAGTCATCCTACAGTACCAATTCATATTCTCAGACTCTGCGCTGTTCTTGAGGATCCACTTTGAAACAGTGGCACAGTCTACTGGACGATGAGCTTCCTCAGTGCACTGCAAGATTTATTTCAGATAGTTTATATTCTGCCTATTATGAGATAAACGAATTAATCGGTCAAATACTCACATTCCAACAGAACCCATATGAACAATTGCAATTAACATCATAGCTGCCACTGCCCACAACAAATTCTACTGCATATTCACATCCAGGAGCAGGACACCACTTTGTCTGTTACACATAGAAATGCCTTTAATCAACAGTATAGTAAAATAAAACATTTATATTATTAGTTCAAGAGTTGGCTAAATATGGCAGTTGATCGTTCTGTTGTCATCCATTACAATTACCAATTAACTACACCCTTTCAAAATGTGAAAACAATTGCATATAAGAATAATGGTTGTTGAAAAATATAAACACTACCAAAGTTCAATATTCACATTGTCAACAAATAAATATCTTCATAAATCTGAATATCAGCTCCACATCATTTCGTTGTCCATGGTTACAATACCTCTATATCAAGCTATAGCAACTTACCTTTCGATTATCCTCAATGTAAGATCTGCGAAGATATCGCCCATACTTTTCCTTATCCTCTTCATTAGCCAGCGAATTAATCATATCTTGTCCAACTGCGGCAGCACAGGACGGATCAGGACATCTCAACATCAGACATCCTGGACCATCATTTATAGCAGTGCTAATGTAACCTGTCAATACACATGAAACTTTAAGCAGTGACATCATAATATCATAGGTCAATTATATAGCTATTAATGCAAAAGGGTAAAACAGAGTACAGAGAAACACCACCAATCAATCGCACTGAAACTTCTATACGATGAGTCTCTAGTGTAAGTGATCAGCTTCTCCATTTAGGACTAGATTGTTACATCCACAAGCAATGTGGACCTTTCCACGAAAAAGTATAGCAAATCTCATAAGGATGCAACTCATTTACAGTATAACAAAGATGTAACTGATGCTAATCACTTCAAAGACCTTAAGCATGGTGAACATTTGTTTAAGCAAGCTTTTTAGGTAGCCATAACATCTGTGAAAAGAACATCTGAGAAATTGAATGCACAGAAGAGCATGCCATGCCAGCAAGTAAAGTGGTTGCAGAAGAATGTAATTACGAGGTATCGTATCATTAACTATCACCACCCCAGTATGCGGCTACAGAGAAATGACAGTTCATGGTTTGTTACAATATGAGAATGAAAACAGAAAGCATGATTCCACACAACAAAGAATTTAGGGTGTGTTTGGTTTCAGTCATGAACTGGAATGACACGGCACATGGGTCGGACCTGTTCCTGGGCCTTGTTCTACCGTTTGGTATACAACTGGAATGGAACCCACTCGTTCCCACCAAGTGAATATTCGGCCCAGATCCGGAACGCAGTGATACCTCCAAATCAGAGGAATCACGCGGAATCGGTCGCGCACTCCTCTCCCTCTCTCATGTGACGCCTCTCCTCGTCTCTCTTCCTCCCTCGATCTGCACCACCAGGCCTCCTCCTTCAATCTGCGTCGCTGGCCACTCCCACCGCATCCTCGCGCTGGCGCTACTCGTCGTTGTGCTCGGAGCCGCCCTGGCCGCGTCCCAGCCGGGCGCACCTGAGGCGTCCCATTCGACGTCCTTATCCTCAAGGCATCCCCTCCAACGACGGCAGCCGGGATGGCACGGATCCAGCCTTCACCAGGGCAACGAAGGCGGTACGACGACAACGGCAAGCAGGAAATATGCGCCCCCCCCCCCCTATCTGTCTTTCGGGTGGAGTACAGGTAGCAGCAGATCGCGTGGCCGTTGGCTTGTCTGCCTTCTGTCTTTCGATGGTGGCGGAAGGGTCAGTAGCCAGCTTGCTTGTGGTGGCCACACCTGGGCAGCAGCAGCAACGAGGAAGGAGCGGCCGGGGCAGCAAGCAGCGCAAGTAGCAGAGAGGAAGCGGCAGCGTTGGCAAGCATCAGCGCCGGCAAGCACAAAAGCTGGGACAAGTGAAGCAACTGGTTTTTCCTAGCTTGTCATTCCTTGATTAATGCTTCATCTATGTGCTCTGTGTTGAGATTCTGACAAATTTTGATGCCATTAGTACTAGTGTAATCCAGATTTTGGGACTTGATTAATATTTTTTGTCTATTCTTGGAAACAATTTAGTGATGATAAATTTTGTAGACATCAGATTATATGTGGACGATAAATCATTGTGCAATTGAAATGTATTTCGCATAATTTTTGTTAAACATAAAAAGGTTGTAACTGTTCATATTGTACATTTGCATGTTAGAGATACTCTCCAAATCTATTCCATTCCAATTCTCCAAACTAAACGCTGAAATATAACCATTACATTGCACATTTTATCCCCAACCAAACACAGAAACAGAACCAACCCATTCCGGTGGAATGGAACAATGACATTCCATCCCACTTCGTTCTTAAACCAAACACACCCTTAAGGTCCATATACAGAGGAGTGTTTAAAGAACAGATTGACCAACCTCTCCAGCATACACTACAGAAAGGATGTCCACATGCGGCAGCACTCATTGATGCATGGGGGCAATTTTCGAAACAAATTCCACATGCCAGCTGTTATGAAGTGAACAAACTGTATAAGTTGAATATTCAAGAGCATCAAATGTTTTACATAAGCTTTTGTAGAAATTAGAAACCATTGAAAACAGGCAAGAGAAATGGCATAAAAATGGCACATGCGCATGACGCTCACAATGCATAGCAAGTGCAAAGCTACTATTTTCTAATGCATGTACACTGCAAACCTGCAATGATAAAAGCATGTCAGCCGATACCTTTTTCAAACAATCTGAGCTGGTGGCCATGCATACTGATACAAGTAGGTGCTAAGATACTGGGAAGTGGCAAATATGAAAGCCTGTACCAAATAATTGACTGACTACAGTAAGTGTGTTTGTATTTTATATGCTTTATGTACACTTTTTTCAGCATCCACAACTCATCCTACAAATGGTAATGGGGGGAATAGAAATATTGGAAACACTGGGTAGCTCAGAAATGCTTGTACCACAGCAATTCCCAACAACTACTATATGGCTCAAAAAAATGAAATATACTTAGTGAAATGAAAAAATAAGTTCGATTAATTGAGGTAGTGATGTACTTCTCTGTCATTTGGCATTTCAATGCGCTTCTCCGGAAAACCAACAACCTTGCGAACACGTTCTTCATCAACGAACCATTCATCATGCACCTTACTAACACTCCTGTGGGGAAAAACATTAAATGAGAAAGTGGAATTAACAACCGACATAAGATCACAAGGAGATATGAAGTACATATATATGGGCAAGTAGCATTTGATGTATACAGCTATGACCACTTCAGCTAATAGGCTAAAAACCAAAAGCAGTGAAAATAAACTTCCATGGATGAACTATCCATGTGCCAGAAACATGAGTTGGTCTTCAGGTCTTATGGGTTTCACCTCTAGCCTACCCCAACTTGTTTGGGACTAAAGGCTTTGTTGTTGTTGTTGTGGATGAACTATTGCAAACATAACTTGGTATGGAAAAATGACACGGATTCCTAAGTACCACTGTTTTTACCATAATAAGTTGTCCTAACTCACAAAACTAAATGTTATGGAAATGTATTTCGTGACGAATCTAATTATGGAGTCATTCCAGAAATTTTTATATATAGGACAGTCAAACTTAAGTGTTGACAATCATGGATTCCAGAACATCTTATATTTGCAATATGGGTAAGATAAGGATAAATAGCAACTAGATAACGGAGCTTTGCAACACATCTACACCTTAATAACCTGCTGCACACATATACCTTTTGTGTCCGAATCGGTCAAACATAACTATAGCAATACAGAAATGTAACTTAGGTCTCAGAGTACAAGAATCTAAAAGCCACGGCGATATCCAAGTATCTAACAACCCCAAAAAAGGAGCAGATCACTATAGGGCAAGGTGAAAACAATAGGGCAATGGATGTTACCAGTTATAGCTGCGAAGAAGAGCACATGCTTCCGACTTTGAAATTGAGAGAACGGTTGAAACCCTATTTATGTCATCCTCTTGCCGCTGCTTTATACCAGCTTCACTCAATATGCAGTAATTTTGCTGGTGCACAAAACAAGTGAATGATGATAAGAATAGCAGGGCATGAAGGTCGAACAAGCAATGAGAAACATTGAGCTGAGAGCGATTTATTTCACAAGTCAATATAAATAGTATCAAATGCAACCACTTAAGCGACACATTATGATTACTAAATAAATTAAAACTATTGATGACCAGAAAAATCTAATGCATTATTTAAAGGTAGAACAGTGCTATTCTGACTTGGCAAACAACCTAACCTACTTTTCTAATGCAACTTTGAAGATTGTTGTCCAAGTTTGGCCTAGATGTAGCTTCTCTGAGATACCAGTTTATGTAGTTTACAGGCTTATGTTGGAATAGACAATGCTTTTTTAGGAAGCCAAAAGCTGGAATTTGGCTTTCAGAGCACATTATTTAGTTTGTTTCATGTTTGTGAAGCTGGAAGCACAACAGAACAGTACACTTAAGGAACAAATAGTAACTTATCAGGCTATCCTTCCATAAAACATTCCTTATACCTCCAACACATATAGTCATATACCAATCAAAGCAGAGATTGATATCAAGACAGATATCGGAAAGCAACTGAAACTTCTTCACAAGAACTTGGTTGAGTGCACAAGGCAGGGTTGGGCCGGCCTAATGACAGGAATTTTCGATGGTCAGACAGTTGATGGATCAGCAGACAGCAATGCCACTCATCTATGACTATGTAACATGTAGAGTAAAGACAGCAACTAGTGGTGAAAATGGCCAGGGCAATGGATTACCTCAATGGCTGGAAGCTTGGAAAGGAGGCAGATAAAGGTTTCAGGGGAGGGGATAATGACAACTGAAAAGCGAGGTCTGTGTTGCTGGGTCAATAAGGAAGGTAGTGGTATGGAGAGAAGTGGAACACCAAGGAACCACGGAAGCTACTCAAGTTTGCCAGATAATGAAGCTACTCAAGTTAGGAAGTTCGTCGACTAAAACAAGAGGGAAACCCAGGGAAAAGAAGTAACTAACAGATGAACCACTATATCCTAGTGCCATCATCTCTGTTGATGTCCGCCCATAAAAACTTTGCTTTGGAACTGGGAGGAGCTCCGCTAGATTTTGGCAACGTGGTGTGGTACAGCAGGTCAGCAATTCTTTTTGCCATTGTCAAGTTCTAAGTGCCCCATACATCAATAGGTTTTGTACATGGATATGTGGGATAAAAATGACTAGCATTGTGTAGACATCCAAAATTTAGACATTGAAGAATTGCATGGCAGCTCATATACTCTGTGATTTGGCATTTAATTAGTAGGGTACATGCATACCGCCCTAGAGCCTACCTTGTTTTGGTCCATCATGACTTTTTTTTTCTTATAACATCATGACTTACCATTTGCTAGTAATTAAACTTTTATGTGAAAAGTTATAAACTACATCCCAAACAAAGTTGTCATCGTAATTCACAATATTGCATTATCTCATTATTTATTGTATGTATACTTTTATGAATTTAGTATTTACTTGTCTAGGACAAAGTATTGGCAGTCAGGTGGCCAAAATGTATATTATTCGTCAACAATGTTGACTGCGTTATTTATAATCCTGCATCCACCACTGCTCTCACACAAAAAATAAATATTCCCCGGAGGCCCTAGCTTGCACCAACACATATTTATTGAGGATGACGGCGATTGCAAGGGCAAGGCCATTCGCCCGAGCCACAGCCCAGTCTACTAGAGAAGGAAGGCCGTAGCAGCAAGCATAGGAATATCAATCTCATCGATCGTCTAGATTCACGAAACTACAGTTCCCGCACATTCCCACATCAAAAAGATGGAAACACGAGCTACGCGATTGCGCCACTCCAAGCACACACCCATCCTGGGCGGGAAACCGAGATCACCTGCTGCCGGTGAGAGAGGAGCTCGGGGGAGTCGTCGGAGTCGTGGTCGGCGAAGTCGTAGTCGGCGTCGCCGTCATCGCTGGCGGCGAGCCCGGCCTCCCCGCCGCTGTAGAAGTCGTCGTCCGCTGAGTCGTTGGCGTCGTGCATGTCGTCCTCGGAGTCCATCGCCGCCCCGCCGTCGCCAGCGCTCGCCTCCGCTCGCCGCCGGAGCCTCAGGAGCAGCGCGGATCGGGCGGATCGGAGCGGCGCCCACCACGAGGAGGGAGCAATCGGGCCCGGGGCGCGGGGGCGCGGCGGCGCCCGCGCTGGTTCGGGGCAGAGGCGGGGAGGGAGAGGAGGATGCGCCGGTGTCGGGGGGGTGGGGGGAGTGGGGCGGAATGGGGAGGACGGATTGGTGGGAATGGTGGGTCGGGTGGATTCGCTCGCTCGGCTGCTGCCTACACACGAGAATAGCTAGGAATGCAAGCTTTTTCCTCTCGTTTTCTTACTCCTTTCTCCCCCACTTTGCTTTCGGTTGTTTATCCCTTGTCACCCGTCCTTGTGCGCGTAGTGTTTTTCTTACAGTTCTTTCTCTCCGTGTTTTCAGTTGTCCGTGGGATTTTCTATTGACTTCAGATTCAAAGCTCTTTGGATAATCCAATAAGGGCATCTTCAACACGAACCCTTGATAGACCGTGCGGTTCGGATCGTATCGTGTCATCCAACATGGGCCTATATCGGTTCGTCGGGTGGTCCGAATGTACTTTTTTCCACAAATCGAAAACAAATTAAGAGCTTTGCAAGCGTCCGGATCGCTGACCCGCCCGCGTCTGACCGCCCTAGCCCATCCGAAACAGCCACTCGTGCCAACGCGTGTTCTCGCCCGGCAGTTGCCGCATTCATGCCGCTAGAGAGCAGCCGCTCCGGCATTGACACCTACGCAGGACGGGCGTGACCACTCACTATCGGTATTGAAGCGGCGCGACAGCCGAGTAAAGCTTGGTATTAAGTAAGCAGTGATATCCAACATGCATCGCAAGGTATTAAGTTCATAACAAACAAAATAATGCTTGAAGCGTGATGACATAATGCAGACAAAGTAAGATCAAATAATATGGCCGAACCCCGTCGTTTTAACCTTAGTAGCAATAATACAAATACGTGTCTTGCAAGTCGCCGCCAAGGACGATGCATGCAATATCAAATCAATCATAACGCCTCAGCAACTGCCCTGCGGATATTTGACGCTCTGTAAGGTTTGTGCAATCCTCATAGAGTATCGGGGGCTGTTATGCACAAGGCCTACTCAAACTCCAGCTAAAAGCTAAATCCGTTTTGCGGAGAAAAGGCATTACTTGAGTCACCTCAAAGCATGTTAAAAGGCCTTGGACAGCATCGCTCAGTCCGTGTTGACGGATCGAATGCTCTGTAGAACCGCACCCATAGGGCGCGATGTTCGGCGACGATGACGGAATTGTTCACTAGCTCCTCCGTCGCGTCCGGCCAGCCTGCTGTCGCCCGATTATTGGTGTTCGGCGCGGGCGGCGGGACCTCGGCTTCCCCTTCATTGGAAGGCGGGATCGGCTCCTTCAAGGTCCTTGGGAGCTCCGGTGCGGCTGATTGGGAGGGCCCTGAAAGTCCGAACCCCCTCATGTGTTCGCCAGGAGGGACGCATCCTCGTGGTCTTTGGTGACCGAGGCCTCGGCCATGATCTTGTCGCCGCCCTCCCCCGTGTTCGGACGGGGAAGGGTCCTTCGGGACAGCACCTCCCTGTGCTCTTCAGGGACCAGGGGAGGTGCGGAGCGCGACGCGGATCCGCTGTCCGCTAACTCGGCAGGCAGAGAAGTCCCTCCCAAGGTTGGCTCGGTAGGGAGGCCGCGCGGTGGGCCGTGATATCGCATAGTCAGTTTCTGTCAATGAGGGACGGATAAAATGAAGTAAGAAATGTTGAGGTTCATACCTCATCGCGGGGGGCTTGACCCTGGGATCCTTCTCCGGGACCTCTTCGGACGCCACTGACTCCTCGTCGGAGTCCGAACTGTCGGGCAAGACCAACTTGGGTATGCATTGCCTCTTCGAGGCCCGAGGAGGGTGCTCCTCCTCGACGTCTTCGGACGCCGCCGGGAGGAGGCACTTTCCTCCTCGTCTGTGTCCTCTTCCCCGTCCTAGGCAGACGGGGCCGCAGTGTCTCTGGCCTTGGTGTCCGGACGACCTCTTGAGCGAAGGCCTTCCCTGGCCTCTGGCAAATCTATCTTCTTATTTCCTTTTTTCTCTGGCGCCTTGTAAGGCTCCACGACCAGCAGCTCCTCTAGGTGAGCTATCCGAGACTCTTCAGGCAGCGGAGCCAGACTACTGATCTTCTTGGCCTTCTCAAGCCAGCCTTATGGAGGCAACAAAAAGAAACTTAGATGGAACTTTGTGCAGTATGAGCGTCCGAATATAAATCGGGCAAAAGATATGTTACCTTCTTTGGGGGATTTGCGGCGTCGAGGCCGATGTCTTCTTTCTCGGTCGGCCACTCCTCCTGGGGCTTGAACAACAGCTTCCACACCTTGTCATGGGTAGTGCCAAAGAAGTATTGCACGGTGGCCGGGTCCTCGGGCTTGTAAGACCACATTGGAGTGGCCCTCTGCTAGCAAGGAAGGAGGTGGCGGCCGAGCATTATCTGGACCACATTGGTCAGCTTGGCGTCGGTCTCCATCACGTTAGAGATACATTTTTGCAGCATCTTCACCTCGTCGGCGGATCCCGAGTCAAGCCCCTTCTTGGTCCACAAGGTCAATCTCGCTGGGGGTCCGGATCTGAATTCTGGAGCCACCATCCAGGGCGCATCCCGTGGTTCCGTAATATAGAACCACTCTTTTTGCCACACCTTGAGGTGTCGATGAATGTGCCCTCTGGCCATTGAACTTGGGTGAGCTTGCTGATCATCGCTCCACTGCAGTCCGCCTGGCGTCGCCGACTACCTTCGGCTTGACATTGAACACCTTCAGCCACAGCCCGAAATGCGGCTGGACTCATAGAAGGGCCAACGATGATGAAGGCCGAGATGTGGAGAAGGGAGTTGGGGGCTAGATCATGGAAGTCCAGCCCATAAAAGAACATCAAACCCCGAACAAAGGGGTATAGAGGAAATCCCAGCCCCCGGACAAAGTGGGGGAGGAACACTACCCTCTCTCCTGGCTTGGGCGTGGGGATGACCTGACCCTCCTCGAGGGCCCGGTGGGCGATGTCGACCGACAAGTAGTCGGCTCGCTTCAGCTCCTCAATGTCATTGTTGGTGACAATGGAGGTGTCCCACTTATCGTAGGCACCAGATCTGGCCATGGCGAGAGCTAGGGAAAAGCCAGGAAGGGACCCTCCGCAGAACAGTGAGGCAGGGCGCTGGAGCTCTGGAGATTGGAAAGCGACAGCGAGAGGTGGAAGAAGGCGTAGGATGGTAACTGTAGTTGTTCCCCTTTTTATGGGCCGCAGAGAAGCCAAAGGATCCTTTTTCCCCGCCACGGGCCTCTCCACTTCCCGTTATACTCGCGACGTTATGCGTGGGTGGGACAATTGAAATCATTGATCACATCCCCTAATAACTGGGGCATGATCTCTGCCTTGATGAGACATGCCAATGGAGGGGCGGCCTCGAGCCGCATGTCGAGAACTTCCAGCCGTTCGGTGTTATGACCAGACGCGACCCTTCACCAAAAAGTTGCCAAATGAGGACACTATTCACAATGGAGCGCCTTGGCCTTCGGGGCTAAGTAAAGCCAAATGCTCCAGATTTTGAACACCACACAACTTCGAACATGCACAGGGCAGGACGGAGAACACGCCTGATACGTCTCCAACGTATCTATAATTTTTCATTGTACCATGCTTGTTGGGGATATTACTATCAGTTGAGACCCGCCCAGGAGGGGCCGGGTCAGTTTCAATGGCGGGTTACGCAAGAAGCCCAGTAAACATTCAAGATCGTAGTTTATTAAGTTTTATAGAAGGCCCAAAGGCCTGGGGCCGGCTTAAGGCCCGATATTGTAAGTAAACCGCCGTATGTAAGGAAAGACTTGTAAAGAAAGGCATGTAAAGGAAGTCACCGAGCCGGACACGATTATGAGCCGGCCGGGACTCTGTAGGCCACCAGGCGTCAACCCGTGTATATAAGGGGACGACCCGGTGGCAGTTTAGGGCAAGAAACAACCAAGTCGATAACCAAGCCGGCGAGTTGAGCCTCTTGGAGATCGAAACCTCGGCAATACCAACACAACTAAACATAGGCTTTTACCTTCATCGTAAGGGGCCGAACTAGTATAAAACCTCTCATGTCCTTTGTCCCGATTAACCCCTTTAAGCTTCCTAGTTGCGATGGCCCTACGACTAAGTCCTTTCCCTAGCACATCTGTCGTGACAATTCCACGACAGCTGGCGCCCACCGTGGGGCCAGCGCACGGTGGATTTGAGTTCTTGAAGGGCAACTTCGAAGGGCTCAAGGGATACGCTGTGGGCCGGATGACCAAGAGTGGTCGCGGCAAGCTCTACATCAACGACGAAGGCTGGGGCCCCGAGGCCGGCTCGATCGAGTACGGGTAACGAGTCCCCTTCGGCGGAATTCACGTCTTCATCGGCCGGATCGGCGAGTCAGGCCCTGAGCCGGACGTCCACACCGACCTCATCGAAATGGCTCAGCGCGTCGGGTCCGCTCGTGTTCAATTTGTCGTGAAGCATGCCTTCGTAGGCTGCATCCATGGCGGTGAATACTCCGAAGGATCGATGGAAGGCAGGGAGATGGCCATCTGCTCTGATACTGCATCATCAACAGGTGAGACGGACTCGTTGTACCAACTGCAAGACGACATGCTCGGGGGCTGTTCCGATGGCAGCAGTATTCGGGACCCCCTTGAGCCACAGAATTGGGCCGGAGTCTTCATGGCAGGGACGCAGCCCGGGCAGAACTCCACCGCAGCGACAGCAGCAGCCACCGGGTCGGCAGCTTCCGGGTCAGGAGACCCCACGCGCCCCCCGGCTTAGGTTTTAATGGACCTCATGGATAAGCTGACGACTCTGCTAACCGCTGCGGTAGAACTGGCGGATAAAGCCCAGCATGACGCGGAAGTAGCACGCGTGCGGGAGGAGATGGTGCAAGCTAAGGAAAATCTAGCCGCGGAGGAGACCCGGATGGCAGCAGAATGAACAGCTTT